ATTATTAAAATTAATTTTTAGAAATTAATTATTTACTGTTTAATCCCCCACTCCTTTTGTGTTGTTTTCTAAAAGAGAGGAGACAAAATGGGGAAGAGGAGGAAGAAGAGGATGATCCAATACCGAAAGCATTACGTCGAATAATTAGCCAGTCGAGAAGGAGGAAAAAGAGCACCTTAAAAGTATCGAGTCTTTTTATTAAAATTTCAGCCAAACCAAAATTAAAGAGGCAAAGAACGTCCACCAAGCCCATTCCGGCACATTCATCAATTCATTTCCGGTAGTAGTCGATTCTATTAAATTTTCATTTTTGGAAATTGAAATACTGCTAGATGCCAAAACTTTATGTTGACTATTGCTACTCATATTTTTTTAATAAATATTGTTAATTCATTCTAACAAATACAGAAATTATTTTTAAAAATACTAAAAATTAAGCAATTAAATATTAAAATAATAAAATAAAAAATTAATTGTAAAATATTGTAAATAGCAACAAAGTTTCACAACCGATTGTAAAATAATGTAAATAAATTGTAAATAATAAGAAATTAGTTGTAAATTAAATAAACTTATTTTACAATTTAAAAATAAATTGTAAATTAAATAAACTTATTTTACAATATAAGAAATAATTTGTGAAACCTAGAAACTTTTTTACACTTATTAAAAATAAATTGTAAATTTAATAAAACTTATTTTACAATTTTAAAAATAAATTGTAAATTAATTAAACTTATTTTACAATTATTAAAAATAAATTGTAAAAACCTAGAAACATTTTTTACAAATGTTAAAAATGAATTGTAAAACTTAGAAACTTTTTTTTACAATTATCAGAATTGAATTGTAAATTTAATTAAACTTATTTTGCAATTAGTATTAAAATTAAATTGTAAAACTTTAAAACTTTTTTACAATTATTGAAATTAAATTGTAAATTAATTAAACTTATTTTACAAATATTAAAAATAAATTGTAAAACCAAAAAACTTTTTTTACAATTATCAAAAATTAAATTGAAATTTAATAAAACCTATTTTACAAATGTTAAAAATAAATTGTAAAATTAATTAAACATCTTTTACAATTTTAAAATTAAATTGTAAAACTTTGTAGTTATAAACTAATAAATATTCAAATATATAGTTAACGGATGCAATAAAATACTTATTTTAAAAAATAAAATAATAAAATATTAAAAAAATATTTAATTACAAAAGATTAATATAACCAAAAATAGTAAGATAATCTACCATTAGATTTTTGATTTTTAAAAATTGTTTAAAATAAAATATTGCCACTTTGTTGACATGAGGGATTAATAGGCAATGTTTAAGGGAAAATTAGAAGCATCTCCAACTTTTTTTTCACATTTCTTTTTAAATAACAAAATAGTAGAAAGAAAAGAGGGATTAAATTGAGAGAAGGCGTATTTTCTCATTAGCAAGCTTACTTTCTAAGTTTTATTAAAAGATGTTTGCCAAGCAAGTAAAAGGGTTGTAATTTAAGTTTAAGGTTGCAAGTTTAAATATTTGTAAAAAGTTTACAATTTGTAAAAGGTTGTAGGGGTTTATAGCTTTGAAATGGTTGTACGGGTCAAAATAGTTGTAAGGCACAGACCTGCTCATGGATACGGATATGGATACAGATAATATCAAAATGTCTGCGGTATGTATCCGCCGTAAATATGCAGATACGGATACCAAAATCAGTATACGTGACCAGGTCTAATAAGGCAGAAGTACCCTTGTTTTAAAGCAAGCTAAGGTTTCAGTATTGTATAAGGCTTCAAGACCCAAAGTAAAGCACAAAATATTGTTGACTTTATAATATTATTTATTTCCAAAAAATATATACTAGACATTTCCAAACAAATAATTTTCCATTAATATATAAAAATAAGTGCAATGCCACGGCATTTTTTCTTTTATTTTTCGAATGAACCAGGAAATTGGAAGAGGCAGCTAGCCTGTATATAAAGCTAGAAAATATATATTTATTTCTTTTTGTCGGGTATTGAGAATAGGGTGAAAGCAGGGGACATTTTTTTAAAGGAAGTAAAGGGGAAAAATAGTAGAGGGTAAATTTTATAATGGCAAAAATTTTTTTTACTTTTTATTTTTTGAAATTGGAGAAGTTAAAAAAGCAAACAAATTAAAAGAGGGACTAGAAGCATTTAAAAAATAATTTAGAAAAAATTTTAAATTAAAGAAAAAAATTTTTTTCAGACGTAATACAATGTCACGTCAACTGAAGTTAATGGAAAAATCAAAAATTAAAAAATAGAAATGAGAAAATTTATTTTTGAGTTAACCATAAAACCGGAAAACGGAAATATATCTGAGAGAAAGCGAGAAAAAAAAAGAAAAAAAAATTTTTTTACTTCCATAAATTGACGTTTTCTCGTACTTGGATAAACACAAATGAAGCATAATTAGTGCAATTTAGCGCCTAGAAATGTGTAAATAAAAAAGGGAAGTAAAAAATTGTGGATAAAAGATTTGTTTTGTTTTTCTGTTATTTTATATTAGTAAACGGAAGCAAAAAAAGAAGTAAAAAAACTTGTTTCGGAATACTTTAAGAATTATCATCATTATTTTCAATTAAACTCGAAACATTTTGAAAATTCTGGAATACACTAGAAGGAGAGGAAAATAATTCTTTGGAAATTAATATTCTGATTTTTCAGAATTTTTCTATACATATTAACAATTATTGTAAGGATGATCCACCTAGCATTTCACTCACCCAGCATTTCATTCACCTAGCATTCAATTCACCTATTCATTCATTCAACATTCACCTAATTCTTCACTTAGCTTAGGCGGAGGTTAAATGATCTAAAAGGATAAAAGATTAGTCGTTGTCCCTCCCGGTAGCTCAGTGGTAAGGCTCTTTATAAGCGGTGAGCGCCTAGCAATAACTCCAAGGAGGCCGGAGGTTCGAATCCTGCTCGGTGGCTAAACTTTTGCTAGACTCTTTTTTTATTCTGATTTTGTTTCAAAATATTTCAGAATATATTCTGAAAAATTATTTCAAGTAAAATTCCAAAATGGATAATATTTATGGATAATATTCTGCTTTTTATTTGAATAAAAAAAGCAGAATACTTATACTAGAATTAAAAATATTATATAATAAAATTGAAAGCATTGGCCAAAATAACAAAGAATCAAAAAAAAATTTTTGCAGCCATAAAATACGAGAGTCCTTTGCTTTTCTTATATTTCTCTCGCAAACAATAAAAACCCAGAAAATAGGATTTTGAACAAAAAAATTTTTTCCGTTGGGAAAATACAAATAAAAAAGAGAAGAATGGCATTACTTAGCTCTGTTGGGTATCCCTCTCTTTCCCTTTTATTTTTGCCTTTTTTGCCGATAATCCACAACAAATGCCGAATTTGCCGCCTCTCCGGTTTCATTCTTTTTTTTCATTTTTTTTTCTGTTAGAAATATCTTAATACTATATTGAATTTGGTTTATTATTTAAAAAAATTTTTCGGAATAACTCCAAGTCTGTGTCTCAAACTCATATTTTTTTGTTTCTCCCAAGGGAATTTTTAAGAGAATTTTTGTAAAAAATAAAAAAATTATTATTCATAATAATAATAAATATAGTCTAAAAAAGGAAAAAACTGAGAGAAAATGAAGGGAATAAATTTTAAATTTTTAAATCTAATTTTTAAAGAAAAAAGTTTTGTCCAAAGAACGAAACATGTGTAAAAATTGCCATGTTTTTCCTGTGTAAAATTTTTAAAAATAAATTTAAAAAAAATAAAATAAATTTTCCTGTGTATGTAAAAAGGCATAATATTGAGAAAAATTGAATTAACAAAAAATATATTTTGATGAATATTATTTTTAAAAATTATTTAAAATTGTAGAAAAAATTTCTAAAATTCTAAAAAATTTTTTTGTTAATTTTCAAAATTTTTCTAAAAATTTTTTTTTTAATTTTGAAAATTCCAAAAAAAATTAAAAAAAATGAAACCCAAAGTAAACTCGAAAAACAATTTTTAAAAGTACTTTACTACCCATTTACTATTTTTAATGGCATTTTAAGGGCTTTTATGAACTTTAAAAAGCCGTCTATTAAATAGATTAGTATTGACATTTAAATAAATTTTGATAAAAAAAAATAAAAAAATTTTTTTTTAAATAAAAAAAATTTTATTTACATTAAAAAATCAAAAAAAATTTGATTAATTATTGCATTCCCCAATAAAAGTGTTATTTACATGAATATATTTTGACAAATCTAATGATGGATATGGCAATAGATTATTTTCAATGTCTGAGATTTGGTTGAAGCGAAGGTCCCAAAAACAGCCTAGAAAATTGAAAAAAATATTTTTTTTTTAATTATTGGATATTTGTGACTTTAAAAATTAAAATTTAATTTTTAAAATATTTTTACCTATAATGCTGGAAGCATCCGAAATTATAAAATGAACAAGCGCCCTACGCCCTAAATCTGCTGGGGCACCTAAAAATATTTTTTTAATTTAAAAATTATTTTTATTTATAGTACCTCCAAAATATATTTGTAAAAATTCATTGGGAAAAAAATTTAGAGGTCCTGTATTTATTGCAAATTGTGTTGGAAAGTCATCAACGGTTAAATAAAATTTTTGTCCATATATTCCGATAACTAGCCAATGAGATTTTGAATCAGAAACTTTAAAAAGCATTTTTTTACAAATTGTAACATTTTAAGCTTAATTTACAAATTGTAAAATTATTTTAAAACTTAATTTACAAATTGTAAAACAGTTTTAAACTTAATTTACAAATTGTAAAAGTATGTATATTAAACTTTTTTTACAGATGTAAAATTATTTTAAAGCTTTTTTACAAATTGTAATATTATCTTAAACATTTTTTACAAATTGTAAAACATTTAAAACTTATTTTACAAATTGTGAAATTATTTTACGCTTTTACAAATTGTGAAATAAGTTTAAAACTTGTTTTACAAATTGTAAAAATAATCGAACTTATTTTACAATTTGTAAAATTGTTTTCCGGTTTAATATTAAACTTCCGGAAAAAATTAATTTACCAATATTCATAGAATATAATTGGGAATAAGGCTCGTGCCCCTTTCCTAGTTGAACAGCTGCTCTTAAACGCCCACGCACTAATTCAAGAAGTATAAATGAATCATCGTTTTTATCACCTAACCAAAACATTGTTCCATCACTAGAAAATAATTTAATTAATTTCCTTTTAATTAAAAAAAGTTTTTTTCACCTCTGATTTGTTGCAAAATGAAAAGATATTTCTCCATTTATTACAGAATTATTAAAATTATTAATAGGCCATTGGCCAAGAGATAAAAATGTGTTGGTTGTCTTGATCGCTATAGCCCTTCTACGACTACATTTTGGAGGGTCGGCATAATTGAAAGGACAAAAATTTCGTTTGGAAACCTAGAAAAGATTTTTTATTTTTTTAAATTTTCTTTCCGGAAGGGTTAAAAAAATTTTTTGGATTTTTTTTTATTTTTTTTTACATTCCGGAAGAATGATATAGTAATAAAAAATTTAACAAAATTAATAAAATTATTTTCACCCTTTTCCCATCATTATTTGCCCTCTCCATTCTACTAACACTTAAAAATGATGATTTAACATTATCCTCTTTAGAACAATTATTGTTTTGAGACAAAGAATCACACAAATTAAATTCACAATAATTACCAAACCACCCTTTTGGACATTCACAACGATAACCATTAAGCTTAAATAAATTTTAAAAAATTTAATTGGTTATTCAACCTGGTCCAGACATTTCCCTCCATTTAAACAACGCTCTTTTCCTCCCTTCTCTACACATTCATTAATTTGTCTCTCACATCTATTTAATTGTTTTAAATTTTTTAAATTATTTCCCCAACCTTTCCCCAGCAAATCCACGTAAACAAATACAGTTAAACCTTCCTTCATACATTAATTTATTATCTCCCATCTTAACTATACATTTCCCCCCATTTCTGCAAGGATTTCCAAAGCAGGAATCTACTTGTTGTTCACAATGTTTTCCGTAAAAACCGGGCGAACAAATACATTTATATTGAAAGGGAACTAAAACAAACAATTTAATTAAAATTAAAACATTCCGGAAAAGGTAAAACATTTTCCGGAAAGGTGGAATTTTATCTAAATTTAATTTCCGGAAATTGTATATTATATCTTCCGAAAATATTAAAACACTTTCCGGAAAGGTGGAATATTATCTAAATTTAATTTCCTGAAACTATATGTTATATTCCGGAAACTATATTATATATTTTCCGGAAATTCCGGAAGAAGAGAATAATTATTTATGGAAATATCTTAAATACATTCCGAAGAGACGATATATTTTCCGGAAACTATATTATATATTCCGGAAATGTTTTCAGAAAATATTTTTTCGTTGTAGGTATATTATACTTTCCGGAAAGATTATGAAAGGAAGTAAATAATTATTTCCGGAAAAGTCATTATACTTTCCGGAAATCTTTTTTAGCACAGATTTAGGAAAATAAAAAACATTCTATTTTAATTACAATTTTTTCCATTTCCCTCATCCGTCACACAATGACCTCCATTTAAACACTTTTCTGGAGAACAAAAATTACACAAATCCTCATTAATATTTGTATTGTTTAAGGTTGGACAAGGCGCATAAGGTTGCACACTTAATAAAAGTTGATGCTGTCTTTCTGGAGGGTCAGAACATCGTGCAATACCTTAGAAAATTAAAAAAAATTTTTTAAAAATTTTTCTCGAACCAGGCTCCAAAAATTTAGATCTCAACCATTTAATAGCCCAATTCATTCCACAATCACACAATAAAGGGTTATCCCCCAAGGATACATGGCTAAGTGTTTGTTGAGTTTCCAATACAAATTTGGAAAATACAACTTCCGGTAATTTAGAAATTAGATTTGATTGAAGTGATAAAATCTGAGAGTATAAATTAAATTTAAATTTTTAATTTTATTAAACTCTTAAAAGTCCAAGTCCATCAAATGCTCCTTTTGAGAGACAACTTATACGGTTGTGTGAGAGCATTAAAGCATTCAAAGATTTTAGTGGGGAGAAGGCATTAGAAGGTATGTGTTCAATTAAATTATAAGAGAGATCTCTAAATTAAATATTTTTAGATTTTTATTTTATTATTTAAACATTTGAATAATACTACTTACATATTTAAGTTTGTAGTCCCCTCTATAAAATAAAAAGGAAAATACAACAGAAATTCCGAAACATTTAAAACCTTTTCCGGAATTGAAGTTTCATGTAAAATATAATTCCGGAAAAATATAGAAATTTCCGGAAAAAGTAATACAAACCTTACGGAAAAGGAATATAGGCTATGGAATAGTTTCCGGATTATTCCGGATTATATAAATAGTTTCCGGAATTATAGTTTCCGGATATATAGTTACCGGATTATTTCCGGATGTATTATTAAATAGTTTCCGGATATATAATAGTTTCCGGATACTATATATACTTTTCCATAACTAATTAAAAAGGGGTCTACAAACTAAAGTATTACCTTATTTATTAAAAAATATATTTAATAAAAATTATTTTAAATAATTTTTACAATTTTTTAAGATGTTCAAGTCCAACAAAATTCTCTCCTTTAATAATTTTAATTTTATTATTATCAAGTAATAATTCCTCCGTATTTTGAGGCAAAGGCCACGGAATATTCACTAAAGAAGCATTCGAACATTTTACAATAACTGAATTCTTTCTTCTAAAATTATCTTCCTCTCTTCTATGTCTAAATAAAAGCCTTCTTTTTCTATGCCTAAATCTGTGATTATTTAGATTTTTTGGTTGTTGCTCAAAATAATTATTTAATAAAGGAGTACATTTACAGCCAGCCGGGCAAAGTATTCCTTCCTCAGAACAAGTAGATTCTCCTTGATCTGATTCAAAAAAAAATTTTTTTTAATATTTTCACTTATTTACCAGAACACTTAACATTTTTAAACTGTTCTAAAGTCATTCCTCTCAAATTTTCTGGCCCTCCACATTTCGGTACTTGCCGATTATTCCAACTTATTCCGCCTTCTTTCAATAAACTTTGCAAATTACAATCGCAAAGCAATTGTCCACTTGAATCAATTTCGATATTTAAAGATAATTTATTTTTTGTATCCTGCAGGAATTAAAAAATTTTAGAAAATTCTTTAATTTTTTAAATTTTACTTTATTTAATATTATTGAGTGTAAGCTTGGATTCCGTGTAATGGTTAATTTTCTAAGGGTACTAGGCATATATTCAAGTGAAATACAATTAAATTCATTGCCATCCAAATGACTTAAAATTAATTTTATAAAAATTGTTGTAGCAAAATAGTCTCAAAATGGTCAGTAATTAAAGTTAACCTACAGTATCTCAAGAGAGCTATTTCTCTCATGTTCCAAATCTTCAATTTTATTAATTCCATTGTCAGCTGATAGAGCCTCTAAAACATTCAGCCTATTCAGCGAATTGTTGCGCAGATCTAGAACTCTATGATTCTCAATACCGGCAAGAGAATTGTGTGCCAAAAAATTAAGATTATTGTTACTCAGATTGCTTTAAAAAGAGAATAAGCTCCAAACTAAGTATAGAAAAATATTTACAGAGTGTGTAGATTAGTTAATTTATTTATCCCCATTCCAAAGGCAAAAGGTTCTAGTTTTGTGATCTTGTTGTTTGATAGTATGAGGGAAGTTGTAAAGTTGGGAATTGATGTTGGGGGTGATAACAAGCTGAGATTGCTTTAAATAAAATTAAGAATACGTTGACACAGATGGATCTCATTATAAAGACACACCCGTGGCCCTGGAAAAATTTGTCTCTTAACGAGGGGTATCCTAAATAAGGGGCATCATAAATTAGTCTACCTACCTACAATCAACCACAGTTCCGTTACATTTACAGGGCTCCGGACATTCATTGTCCAGCAAACACTTTCCGGCACCTCCAGTAACTAGACTTTCAATACCCAAACATTTGAATTGCTCTACAGATGAAGTAACAACTCGACGACGCTCCATTCTTGTAGGAGAAGCACAACGCGCCCCGCTAGTTTCCAAGGGGCGGGAACGAAGAAGTTTTGCTAGCCATTGAAGATTACAGTCACAAATGAGTGGATTTTTTGCCAAATGTAATATCTAGAGAGAAAATTGAGTAAATTTTATTTCATCGAGTTCAAACAGTTCACTGGTTCAACTGCTGTACTGCTTGAATTTACTGCTTGAACTCTATGAAACGAAGTTCATCGAGTCCGAGTAATACTGTAAGGTGTTTTGGAAGCAAAGCGACAAGTTCCAAAGGTATTTTCGGTGAGTACTGCCTGGAGTTCACGAAACGAATTTCGTCAAGTTCAAGCAGTACATGTAGAAGAAATTGAAATTTTGACTTAAATTGACCTGGAGTGAATTTTTTAAAGGAGAGAAAGTTGTTTCAGTAATCGACTTTATATTGTTGTCATAAAGAGACAAAAGCCTTAAATGGCCAAGTCGTTCAAAAATTCCATCCCTAAGGCATTTAAGCTTATTTCCATTAAGTAAAAGTACTTGGAGTGAATTTAGATCTTTAAAAAGTTGATCGCCCAAATCTGTTAAATTGTTGGAATAAAGCATTCTGGAAATTCAAAAAATTTTTATGTAAATTTTTATAGCTTAATTTACAAGGAATTAAGCTGTTTCAGTCCTCTAAACGTTTCTGGGTGTGCAGAAATTATATTATTCTTGCTGAGATCTAGACGTACAAGTTTAGGCATATGAGAGAAAGAGTTTGCTTCTAATTGTGTTATTCTATTTTGCTCAAGTCTTCTAAAAAATAAATTTTTAATTCTCTTAAGTTATAATTGGACGAGGAATGGATACAAAATCCAATTCCAAACAAATGCAAAACGCTCCTCACCAGGAACGGGCTCTCTTCCGCCTTACCCAGAATTCCGCATTTTTGCCCCTTCGGCTTCATGTTTAGTCTTCCGTTTTTAAAATACGGCAGGGCGGTCCCGCCACCACACTACTAGATATTATTTAAAATCCAATGCTGGTTCTGGGTTGGGGGAGAGATGCCATATCAATACCCCAAAGTGCAACTTATACTGAGGCGTTTAAATTCTACAGTATAAAAATTCAAAAGACAAACAATTCAACAGTATTTTGAGGCAATCCAACAGGCACAGAACGTAATTGTCTATCATGGCAATCAACAACTACATCTACCCCATTATTTATATCAGATATATTCCCCCCAACTTGAGTACATGTACAGACTGAAGGGCATCCATCCATTTGACGGCATGTTCGTTTCGAACCTGTTACTCCTCTTTTTTCTAATCCGGAGCATTTTAGTTGTTTTAGGCTAACTTTATCAAGGGAACGGCTAAACAGATAAGAAGGTCTATAGCAACGAATCTGAAATTTAATAAAATGTTGAAGTGGGCGTTTTGATAATTCTACTTGGTTTGCCACTTTTAGGCGTTTTAGCCAACGCATACGACAGTCGCAATTCCATGGGTTATCTCCCAACTTTCTGAAATTCTCATTATTTTTTTTATAAATTTAAAAAGAATCTAACAAAGTGCGCAGCTTTGGCAGCGAAGCAAGGTCAAGTTCTGATAGGGAAGTAAGTGCTAGAAAAATCAGAATTTTAAAAAATCAGAATTAGAAAATCAGAAGAATTTAAAAACCATTAGAACTAAGAGTAAGTTGCTCCAATGAAGGCCATTGATTTAGGGAAAGAGAATCTAAACAATGTAATTGGTTCCTGTCCAAATTTAGTGTAACCAATTCTGTTGGCCCAATTATTTGTTCTGTTGAAATTGTCCAAAGCTCGTTTTGGGAGAGATCTCTTTTTAAAAAAATAAAAATCAGAATTTAATGTTTTATTCTGATTAAGGTAAAAAAATCAGAATATTATTAAAAAAAGTCAGAACATTCTCTAAACTCAGAATTATTTAAAAATCAGAATTAAAAAATCAGAATTATTTTAAAAAATCAGAATGTTATTTAAAAATATCAGAATTATTTAAAATCAGAATTATTAGAAAATCAGAATTATTAGAAAATCAGAATTATTTAAAAATCAGAATTATTAGAAAATCAGAATTTAAAAATTAGAATTTTTGTGAGAACTAACAATTAAATGACAAATCAGAATTAAAATCAGAATTTGTGAAGTACTCTTATTTTTTCAGAATTTGTAATTTTCTTTTCAGAATTTGTAAAATTAATAACAGAATTATTAAGTATCATTTTACATTATTAATAAATTAGGCTTAAATTTAAACACATATTTTAATTATTCTTTATTTTTATTCCCACGATAAAATATTGTTTTTATTTATCCTAAAAATATTTAATTAAATTATTGTTCTAATTAAGTATTAATACTTCAAATAATCCTTTTTCTTAATAATTAATATTTTAGATAAATTTCCTCTTTTCTTTATAATTCATACTAACTTTTAAATATTTTAAAAAATTTACTCTTTTTTCAACTTTTCAATTTTATTATTTATTTTTCAACATTTATTATTCCCCCCAAACAATAACAAAAATATTACTATTAAATATTCGGAGTTGACGCCGCAAACAATTGGCCACAAATCAAACGCTAAACAAACTTTAGTGAGAGAGAGAAACACCTTTCCTCCTCGATCTCCTCTTCCCTCTCTTTTAGATATTTGATCGAAGAATTTTTAAGCTGGCCGATTTATCGCTTTTTTCCTTTTCACAATAATAATCGTCAAATAGCTATTAAGGGGAACTTGCGACACGAGAGAGTCTAAGCAATATAACTTTATAATAAATTAACCTTTCAAAAAAGTTTTTGGAATCATTCGATAGAGAATTAAATTGGCTATAAAATAAAAATTAAATTGGAATTTTATATTAAAAGGCAAAAAAGTTGTAGTCGAAAAACGGACATTTTTAAGGTAATTTTGATGGTTTTCTGTTGGTTTTCGCGTCATAACTTTTTTGATACTCAACCTAAAATTAAATTTTCTTTTTTTTCTAATAGCAAATTTAATTCTCTATCGAATGGCACCAAAATCATCTCGAAAGGTTAACTTCTTGCTGAGTTATAGGGCTAAGACTCAACATGCTTCGAAGTCTCTCTATTTCTCTCATCCGCGAAGCATAAAACGAGGATTTGAAGTGAGTTGAAGAGAAATAAAATAAAATAGCAGATTTGACCATTTGACGACATTTGGGGTTAAAAAGTATTTAAAATTAGAAAGGACGGTGAAAATCTTTTTTTGAAAAACGGTTACTGCATTTTAAGAGCAATAAAAGATGAAGAAGATAATTAAAAGTAAAGAGTTTTGAAGAATTTTTAAAACAAACAAAACATTAATTTTAAGAAGAATTAAATAGGAGAGGCAATAAAATTTTTGAAATTACCCAGAAATTTTGTGTATTGGTGTTACTATAGTGTAAATACCAGTGCCATAATCGTCGGTAGCAGAGGTGGGTAGGAAATGACGAAAATGCCGGAAATTGGAACTTTCGGAAATTGGAACTGTCGGAACTGTCGGAAATTGGAAATCGGAACTTTCGGAAATCGGAACTTTCGGAAATTGGAACTGTCGGAAATCGGAACTTTCGGAACTCGGAAATGGCTCAAAAGCGGAACTCGAACCTTTGAACGGAAGCATACTAACCCGACTAATCCCTTATCCTCTTTGTCTCCCTACTCTGTAACTTTCTACCTTGGATAAGCGTTAGTCGGGTGCTCATCGACTTGTGCAAAGCTCGAACGACTCCCGAAAATTACTAAAATTAAAATTACCCCTAAAAATAATTTTTTTCTTAATTTTTAATTGAATAATAAGGTAGGTAAATTAATTTGTTGCTCTAATAACTTTTTCTCATGACATTGTCCCGTACCTTACAATAATTTAATAACCAAAAATAAATATTTTTATTTTTATGAGAGAGAACATCCGTCAATCTACTTGAATAATTAGCGTAACTAAAAGTCTTTTGACAATTAATGCGGGTTAAGTCCAAAATAGTCTCTTCTTGCTAGATCTTCAACCTCTGTGCCGTCCCCCAATTACTTAGTCCATTATTTTTCTTTTTATTTTTTAAAGATTCTTTCATCAGATTTTCTTCTTTATCCTTTAATTTCCTCCTTCCTCCATCCCTTTTCTTACTTTTTTTATTATCAAGGCAAATCGCTAGCCGATTTACGCGTGCCCCATTGCCTTCCCTCACTATACTCTTCCAATTAGTCTTTATGGGGAAATCAAAAATGTGGAAAAAATTTAAAAAAGTAAAAAAATCAAAGAAAATAAAAAAAGAAATAAAAAAAATAATTTTTTGAGTAAAAACAAACAAAGCATTAGAGCATAAAAATAAATAGAAAAATAAATCCGCGCAGTGATTTTTAGAAGAAATAAGAGGGGAATTAATTATAATGGTTTTAAAATGAGAGAAATAAAAAGGTTGAAATTTAATTAGAATTTTATTCTGTATGACGTTCAGAATTACAAATTGTAATTCTGTATTAATTTTACAAATTCTGAAATTCTTATAATTATTTAAAATATCAGAATTATGACAATAATATCAGAATTCTGATATTAATATTTATTAACAATATCAGAATTAAATCAGAATTAAAATTAGAATTCTGATTTTAATAATATCTAAAATATCAGAATAATATCAGAATATATCAGAATTATGATATTTTAATAATTGTAATATCAGAATTCTGATTTTAATAATTATTACAATATCAGAATAATATCAGAATTAAATCAGAATTTTGATTTTAATAATTATTACAATATCAGAATTAACTCAGAATTAAAATCAGAATTCTGATTTTTTAATAATTATTAAACTACCAGAATTACCCCCATATTACCCTACTAATACAAATAAAAAATAATGCCTGTTGATTTAAGAGGGGTTTTATTTTATTAAAGTGCCACTGAGTGTATATTCATTTAAATTAGGACTAAATTTGTTAAAAGGATTTGGAGTGCTTAGCAAAAAAAAATTTTTTGTTTGTGGTTTTAGTAAGAAAGGACAGCTAAAAATTATTTTTTTAATAAAATAGGGACGAGAAATTTATTAAAAAAACTTACAATCTTCTCAACAATTTATTAAATTTAAACAATCCATTAGCAGGTAAAGAACGTAAACGATTCTTGTCTAGTCTGAGGCGTTCCAAAGCTTGTAAATTGTCAAAAACATTATTTTCTATTTCTTGAATTAAATTGTCCCCTAATAAACTTAAAAATTTTTTTAGTAAATTAATTTTAATTTAAAATACTCAACAGTGTGCGCAAGTCGTTTAAACCGATAAAATCATCAAAATAAAGTTTTGTAATTCGATTGCCTTGTAAATCTCTTAAATATTTATTATTGAATAATAATATTCTGATTTTTATTTTGAAAAGAACTACTGCAATTTTTTACAAATTCTGATTTTTAAGTTTTACAATTTCTGATTTCTAATTTTTACAAATTTCTGTTTCCAATTATTAAAAATTCTGGTATTTACATATTCTGATTTTTTTATAAATTCTGATATTTATTTTAAAATTCTGATCTTTATAATTTACAAATTCTGATTTGTATTTTAAAAATAACAGAATGAAGAATCAGAATTTGTAAAAATTAAAAATCAGAATTTTAAAAATAAAAATCAGAATTTGTAAAATATAAAAATCAGAATCCAATTTTTATTTTTACAAATTCTGATATATAATTCTGATTTTTAAGATTCTATTATTCACTTACAATTTAGTAGTATCATTAGGTATTGCTTTGGGTACGCGTTCTAAACCCAAACCTTTGCAAATAACAGTAGAATGGGCACAGAAACAATTTTTGGGACATGAAAATCTTTGTTTTTGATTAATTTGGGAACTTAAAAATTTTTACAAATTAATTTAAAAATAAAAAAAATTTATTTTTCCACCCAAAAATTGACGAATTTCCAACTCTATTAATTTGCTCTGATTTTCTACTATTAATTAATAAAGGTATAATTAAAGCAGCTGACGCCAAACTGAACAAAAACATTAGAAAAAATAATAATTTTGTTGGAAAAATAATTTGCAGGCCTTTAGGCATCTGCTTCTTTTTGCCAATATTTTTCGAAAAAATTTTGTTGAAAATTTTTGTTTTTTTATTAGTGAATTTTTATTTATATATTTAATAGATTGAGTAAATGGATCATGCCTAAACATTACCCAAAAAACTGGAAAAAATTAAATATATAATTAAAATATTTTTTAAATAATGGGATGTCTTTTTTAATTGTAAACCAGGGTTCTCATCGACACCCCTGAATGTCTTTCTACTATAATATTTAGACTGAAATACACACAAAATTTATCCCGAATATCTTACAACGTTTAGATAAACACAGATTTTTATTTTATTATGCCTTAAGTATTTTATCGTGAATATAGAGGGTTTAGAAAGGTTTGGAGATATTGAGTGATCAAGAGGGATATAAGGGGGATTCGACGTGATATCGCACATAATCCCTCAATCCAAATTTGATGTTGATATAAATACAGAGCCGATAAGCATTCAATGTGTAGGTATTCAGTGATGACCCTATGCTGGCCATTTAAAAATTGATATACTCAAGAGTAATCTAACCCTAGAAAATATTTTTTGATTAGAAATAAATAGGTAAAATATAAATCTATTTTTTAACATAATAATTAAACTAAAAAATTAAAATAAATAATTAATAAAAATTCTGATAAGCCCAAAAATAGAGACAAAAAATAATCGGAAATAAAAAATACAAATTTGTTGAATAGATAATGGTCATCAAAAAATAATAAATAAATTGAGTGGGTCAGTAATAATAATTGGGGGCACAAAAAATTTTTCTTCTCTCAAGTAGACAAATCTTTCTTTATTCTCTCCATCATCTTCAAATAAATAAAAATAAATAAAAAATATTTTTTTCTCAACTGGCCGCTTTTCCGTATTCAACAATGGTGAGGCCACGCCCCTTTTTAACTCATAAAATTTATAAAATTAAATTAGAAAACTCCAAAGATATAATGCCTGAAATAAAATCCCTAAATAAATAATATTTATTTTTAAAAAATTGGGGTAAAACAAAATTTTTTCAAAAAATTTCTTCGTATATAGGCATTCGATAGTTCATATGAAACAGCATTAAAGCTGTACCTAAAAATTGTGAACCGAATTAATAGACTTCCTTTACTCCAAAGATATAATCCCTCGAATAAAACCCCTAAATAAATTATATTTATTTTTAAAAAATTCTTAAAATATTTTATAAAATTAATTCACTTCCATATTTAAAAATTATTTTTAATTAAATTTTCTCGTATAAAGAACAATTTGGATATGTAAATATTTACAAAAATAAAATTTTTTAGTTCATTTTCTTACGATTTAGTGTTTTTATAAGTATTATGCATGCCTTCCTTTTCTCGGGCTCCTTACCTCCCCATTCTTTAAACAACAAAAAAAACTTTTTTTCTTTAAAGTTATGTGTTGTCATGGTATTTTAATAATAATAAAATAATTTTTTAAATATATTTTTTTAAATGTTCTCTTTCTCTCAAAGATTATTAATTTACTTGGAAACCTTTTAAAGTCTTAATTTTCACAAAGCTAGTACACTTTATATTTTATTTAACCGAAATTTGTCATTTTATTTAATTTTATAATTCTTATAAATTTTAAATTATATTGCTAAAATTAATTTTAAAAATAAATTTATTAATAAATTTAAAAAAATAAATATTTTTTTAATAAAAATGCCTCCAACAGACAGAGCGGTTGGAAGCACAAAACTTTCAGTTACTATTTTTTTCTAATATTTTTAAAAATTATTAGTCTCTTAAATAAAATTATTTTCATTTAAAAAAATATTTTTTAAAAATTTAAATTAAATTTAAAATAAAGGTCTTTGTACGTGTTCGACCTCTCGATTTGAATAATCGAAACAAGGGAGAATTTGAATGTATTAGTGTTGTTGATAATAAGGTTCCTCTATAATTAATTCAAAATTATTTTCAACTTTAAAGAGACTTCTCCTCGTCGACCCCGACAAATTTTCTGCAGACCCTTTAAGGCAAAATAGGGCCCAGGAAAGATCATTTAATTTTGACAGAGTTTTTGGCCCTACTTCTTCTGAAATTGATGTCCAAGAGGAAATGAGGAGCAGTCAAGGATTAATTGACAATCTTGTTCAGTTTGGGAGGAATGGGACTGTGCTAGCTTATGGACCTACAGGTTTTCGTTTCGAGTTTCGTCTTTCGTATTCTTTTGCCTTTTTTAGTTGTTTCGCCTATCAATTATTTATATCCATAAAAATTTTTTTCATAAATTTAGGAACAGGCAAAACCCACACAATGGTTGGAACAAGAGAAAGGCCTGGTTTAATGACGCAAATGACTCGAGCGTTATATTCGCGACTGGGAGAGATGGGAGACCGAGAAACGAGAGTTTTTATTTCTTTTATGGTACGTGAAGAAGAAAAAATTTTCTAAAAATAAATTCAAAAAATAATTATTAAAGGAATTATACAACGAAAATATTCGTGACTTGCTAACACCAAAAGGAGGACCTCACTTGGACCTATTAGAAGTAACTAAAAAAATTTTTTTAATGAGCAAACTTAAAAGGACAATCATGGAAATGTTCAAGTCCCAAGTTTGAGTAGAGTTCGCGCACCTAATAGCAACAGAATATTGCAACTGTTACAGGAAGGGAATAGTAGAAGAACACAAGAGGCAACAGGGGCTAATGCGTAAGTTTATTTTTAAATAAACTTGAAATAGGAAAATAAACTTGAATTGTAAAATATAAAATAAACTTGAATTGTAATTAAAGAATTGTAAAAACTTAAACTTGAAAATAATTTGTAAAATAAACTTGAAATTGTAAAAATAATAAACTTGAAAATACAAAAACACAAATAATTAACAGAACTTCTTCCCGTTCACACGCACTTTTACAAATTTCTCTCATGCGTAATGAGCGTGAACGAGGAAAATTATTTTTAATTGATCTTGCCGGTTCTGAGAGAGCTGCACATACTCAAGTTTTAATATTTTTAATTAATATTTTTAATTTTTAAAAAAATTTAAAAAGAATCAAGGACAACGTTTGAAAGAAGGCGCAGCCATTAACCGTTCTCTTTTAGCACTTGGCAACGTAATTAATGCTTTAAGTGCTGCTCAGAATGGAAGGGGACGGGCTACTTTTGTTAATTATCGAGATTCTAAATTAACAAGATTGTTAAAGGACTCGTTGGCAGGTGGAGCTGATGGGGCAAAGACTGTCCTTATAGCACATGTTACTCCATCATCTGTTCATTATGATGAAACTTTTAATACTTTAACGTAAGGAAATAATTATGAATTTATTTTAGATTACCCAAAATAAAATTATTTTGAAGAAAAGAAATTTTTTAAGAGGAAAAAAATTTTCCTTTCAGTTATGCTACTCGCGCATTAAGCATCGACTTGAGGGTACTTGCCTTACAATTAGAATAAAAAATTAAAACAAAATATTAATTTAGCAATCACGTCCTCGACGTCCAGCATCTGCTGACCGGTCCTATTCTGATGCGCTAGCAACTCTCCGGGCTGAAGCACAAAAGGCTGGAAGACTCGAATTGGGAGGAGGGCATAATGCTTACAATTCCACTGGACATTGTTCTCTTATTTTTTATTTTTAAAATTAATTTAGTAATTATTTAAGTAGCCGATGACTATGTGCAAAGCCCCAAAAGGAGAGGAAATGTCCCTAATTATGATAATAATAGAAGGAGAAATACCTCCCCTCCCTCAAATTTACCCCTAGTAATCCCTCCACTAGCTCTACACAATACAAATGTTACAAACACAACAACAAACAAAAGAAACACAAATACACAACAACAAGCTGTAAAACTACCAAAAATTGGGGGAACATTGTTCGATTCGTTGAGAGAGCAACATTTGGCGAGTGCTGAAAGGCAACAGCGATTAAGGCAAAAAAATAAACTTGTTTGTAAAAACACAGAAAAATACAACTTGTTTAGGAAAAATACAAGGAAAATAAACTTGTTTTACAAAATTACAATTTGTAAAAATACAAAAATATACGTGTTTCTGAAAATACAAAAAACACAGTTTGTAAAACACAAAAAAATAAACTTGTTTGTTAGAAACACAGAAAAATACAACTTGTATTACAAACACATAAAATAAACTTGTTTCTGAAAATACAAAAAACACAGTTTGTAAAACACAGAAAAATACAACTTGTTTTACAAACACACAAAAATAAACTTGTTTGGGAAAATACAAAAAAAATAATTTGTAAAAATACAACTTGTTTTTACAAAAACAAAGAAAACACATTGTTTTATTTAGGGAGAGATTGTTGCGCGCGAATACAGAAGCATTCGAACTTGAGACACAAAAACAGACACGTATCTCAATTCTCGAAGCTTATGAAGGCCAAAAGGATGAAAACGAGAAGGAAGATAATCAAATAATTAATTCTGGCGAACGTCTACAAAAGGCTGTGGAAAAAATGCGTACAGAATTGGGGGAAATTGAGCGTCGACATTCTGTGTTAATGGAAAATAGGCATAAGTTGGAAGCAGCTTTGCGTAAAGGAGAACAGAACATGCGTTCCATTGAAACAAGAATGAGGTAACTAAACTTGTTTGTAAAAAATTACAATTTCTAAAATATTGTTGAATTTTAAGAGCTCAGGCTAAAGAGCCACAACAAATACAAGTAATTGAATTGCTTAGTGTTTTGGCTAAACAACAGGCAGAAAGTTTAATAAAATTTAGATTTTATTAATAAAAAATTTTTTCTTATCAAAGGAGCAGCAATTCACTCCGATTTTGCTATTCAAAGTCGTCGACTACGACGACAGGAAAGTGCATTTAAGCAGCTTAGGCGTTATGAACGTGTTGCAGATTTATTAATAGGTGTTGGAGGAGAGAAGGTTGATGGAGGTAGTAAATTGGAGAACGATTTTTAAAATTTTTCAAAAAATTTTTAGACGAAGAACGTTCCCAACTATTTCGAGAATATCGAATATTAAGAAGTCAATTAAGCAAATTGCTCGAACAAAATTCAAATAATAATGGTATACAATCAAACATATACCAGTCTTACAATCAAACATATACCAGTCCGATCATAATGGAATAGAAGTCATTTTCAATTTCATAAAAACCAAAAATCTTAATCAAAATTATAAAGATTATATAAACTGTAACTATAATATCATAAACAACTATCTAAATTCAATAAACTGGAATTTATGTTTTGCAAATTGCATAGACATAAATCACCTGTATTCCACCTTCCAAAAAATAATTTCTGAAACTATAGAAAATTTGATACCAACAAAATCTAGAAACAGTAAAAATTTATTACCAAAACACATACAATCATTAATTGAATACCGTCGTAAACTATTTAAGGATAAAAGTTTACACTCAACAGAAAAATTTAAAATTGCATCATTAAAAATAGATAAAGAAATACAGAAATACTTTAGAAATCGTGAAAATAAACGATTAAAAAATATTCGAACTAAATATACTCATATTACAAACCTTTTAAAGACAAAAAATACACAAATTCCAATACTCTTGGACAATAATAAACTTCCTCTAATATCAGCTAAATCTAAAGCTAATCTCTTTTCAAACTATTTTTCACAAATTCTCTCTCCATCCAATCAAAAATCTCTAATCCACAAACCTTCTCTCACTCCAAAATCTTCTTCAAATAAAAATAACCTCATTAACACACACACAAACAAACCATATTTAAACTTTATACAATCATTTCAAGAAGATATATTCTTTATATTAAAATCGTTAACAAATAAATCAAATATATCGACAGATATGATTCCTGAGATATTTTTAAAAAATTGCTCACAATCACTTGCTTACCCTATCTACTACATATTTAACTATATTACAATGAGCGCAAACTTACCCGATATCTGGAAACAGTCCATAATTATACCCATTCCGAAAAATAAAAATTCATCCTGTCCTTCAGACTACCGGCCAATATCTCTATTATGTCCAATCTCAAAAGTCTTCGAAAGATTATTATACAATCAATTAATTAATTTTATAGAAAAATATGAAATTATCCCTAACGTCCAACATGGATTTCGAAAAGGGAAATCAGTAACCACACAACTTTTAGAAACATTCAACGACTTTTCGATTGCTTTGGAAAATAAACAATTTATTGATGTCATATATTTTGATTTTAGTAAAGCCTTCGACACAGTTCCACATGATAAACTTATAAATAAATTACACAAAATTGGAATAAGGGGATCTTTTTTACAATTGCTAAAAAATTACCTCACTAATAGAAAATTTACTGTGATGATCCAAGATTATAAAACTGATTTAATGGATATAAATAGAGGCGTCCCACAGGGGTCAATACTAGGGCCATTATTTTTCCTTATATACATATCAGATCTACCCAGTTTCTGTGAAACAAAGGACGTAAAGATAAAATTGTTTGCAGACGATCTTAAAGCATACTCATTCTCTAAAAACACTAAAGACTTTGAAATTAACCTACAAGAGTTTATCAAAAAACTAGAAAAATATGCTGAGGAAAATTCACTCAAACTTTCAGCCGAAAAAACATCTCTTTTACACATAGGGCCTAAAAACCCTTTGCACACATACACACTCAATAATCAAAAGATAAAAACAGTCTCAAATCAAGATTCTATAAGAGACCTTGGCGTTTATTTTTCACACGATTTAAAATGGGAAAAGCACATCAAAATTATAACTAACAAAGCAAATCAAACAGCATTTACAATAATAAGAAATCTAAAAACTAATGATCCTAAAATATTACTCGAACTATATAAAATATACGTATTACCCATAATAGAATTTGCATCGCCCGTTTTCAATCCATATCTTAAAAAGGATATCGAACACCTTGAACAAATACAAAAAACTTATTTACGTATTATATACAATAGGTCAAATCCACGCACACCAATTCCAGAATATCAAGACCTTCTACAAATTTTTAAGGTAGACTCGCTACAAATTAGAAGACTCAAAACTGACTTTAAATTTTTCCACAAAATTTTACATGGTGAAGTAAAAATCGATCAAAAAGAAACATTTAAAATTACAAAAACTAATACAAGGGGAGACGAATATAAATTTTTTATTCCGGCAAGATCAAATCAAATCAGCCATAATTCCTTTTTTGTTAGGACAGCGCGGCTATACTCTCAGTTACCAATATCAATACGTAAATCAAATTCCAAAATATTCAAAACACTTCTTGATCAAATAGATCTCAACACATATTTATCACGCCCCACACCCGTAACATAATACAATCACATATATTTGTTGTACCAATTATTGACATATATTTGTTTTAGTTTAATTTTCAACTTGACTTAATTTATTTTTTCAATCCATATATGTATTTTCAAATTTGTAATGTCGCCCAAGAGGCAAATAAATAAATAAATAAATAAGTATACCCTCTTGGAATGCTCAAATACTTGAAAGATTAAATAATGGGGAAAGAAATAATAATACGAGTAAAACTGTTAATAATGGAAAGAGAAGAGATAGTGAATCACCTCCAATTATGAGGTTGTTAAATTACAATTTGTAATAATTTAAACTTTAAAATTACAATTTGTAAAACATTTTACAACTTTAATGTTTTAAATTTTCTTCAGCAATTTTGGTGAAACATTTATTGTGTCAAAACAAAACAATAATCAGAGAAGTGATATTGAATAAACACAGCTTTAATATTAAAGCTTTTACAATTTGTAAATATTATTACAATTTTATTAATAAAACTTTTTACAATTACAATTTTCAGAAAAATAAACTTGTTTGTATTTAATTGTAAAATACAAGTTCAATATTCAAACTTTTTTTACAATTTGTAAAATATTATTAATTCAAGTTGCATATTCAAGTTGCATACAAACAAGTTTTAAAAATCAAGTTTTACAATTTGAACATTTTACAAAACCTGTTTTACAATTTGTAAAACGTTGCTTCTTGTTTTGTAAAATATTATTCCAACTTTAACTTTCGTAATAAACTTGTTTTACAATTTGTAAAATATTATTTTTTTATTAATAATTGTAGAATAGTAATATTATGAAACTTTTCCTTAACTGTCTGGAAAATAAAAAAAAAGAAGAGCTTATTCATACTTTACAATTGTATTTTTAATATTTATTACACTCACATTCTTTCCTTTTTTAATAAAAATAAAAAATTATTTTCAATAATTTCCCATATTTTTAAAAATGTTTTTTAGTCATTTTATTTTTAATTTTACTTCAACTTTGCTTTTAATATATTAGCTTAGGAAAATTGCGATGTAAAAAATAAATCAATTTCTTTTGTTGATTTGACAATACTTATGGGATATACTTAAGTATTTGTAAATAGGGCAAAATAAATTTAATGTTTGCGATTTGCGTATTTTTTGCTTTGCTCAATTTATTGTTAAATTAAAATATTATAAAAATTAATTTTTTATAATTATCAAATAGATGCAGATTTCTTATATTAATTACAATCGTCAGTTTAATTATTTTATTTTTATTTATTTATTTTCCTTATTTTCAATTTATCTACAACGTAAGATAATAATTATAAAAGTTTTACAATTTATATTAAAAATAAGTTTTACAATTCGTATATTTTTCAAAACATGTTTTACAATTTGTACATTTTACTAAACCTGTTTTACAATTTGTAGATTTTACAAAACATGTTTTACAATTTGTAAAACGTTGCTCTTGTTTTGTAAAAAGTTTGCAACTTAATTCAAGTTGCATTTGTAAACAATCTAAACTTGTTTATTTTAAAGTTGTAAAAATAGGTTAAAGTTGTAAAACAAGTTTGTTTTGTAAAACAAGTTTTAATTTTGTAAAACAAGTTTTAATTCCTGAAACAAACATTAATACAAACAGTTATTATTTTCAATAGGAGTTGAAGCAACCTCGGAAAATGAATACCTTCGTCCATGTTACTTTACAAATTGGGCCCAATATCGCCAAGGGAGGGCCAAATACTTACCCGAACATTATATTCCCGGTCTGTGTACACACATTCTTTATGCTTTTGGTTGGATAAATGAAGACGGGACAGCTAGGCATTTTTAAATTTGAATAAACTCCAAAATTATTTTCCTATTAGAGCGTACGACCCTGCAGATTTACCTAGCGATTGGCAACCTAAAGGGATGTATGCGCGTGTAAACGATTTGAAGGTGGACTTGATATTCTAAGAAAAAATTTTTCTCTTTCAAAGAAATCCGATCCAACATTAAAAACACTTCTTTCATTCGGCGGCTGGTCCTTTGGTACTCGTCTTTTCCAACAAATTACATCCTCGTAATAAATATAAATAAATTTATACAAATAAAATATAAATTCCAGTCAGCAAAATCGTCAAAAATTTATCAATTCTGCAATTGCTTTTGTTCGTTTACACAATTTTGATGGAGTTGATATAGATTGGGAATATCCTAAAGGAGAGATAGACAAGCTCAATTTGAATTATTTTTTAAAGGTGGGGGGTTTTAATTTTACAATTGTAAAATTAAAACAAGTTGAGAAACATTCCTATTTTACCAAACAAGTTTATTTGTGTTTTTAAGTTTAATTTAAATTGTAAAACAAGTTGTAAAATGTTTGTTGCGATTAAAACAAGTTTATTATTTAAGAACAAGTTTAATTGTGTTTTTAAGTTGTTTTTAAGTTTTTGTTTTTAGGTTTAATATTATTATAAATTTCAAAAACCTGAAACTAAAGTTGCAACATGTTTGTACTAAAATTTATAGTATTAAAACAAGTTTATTCATGTTTTTGAGTTGTAAAACAAGTTGGATTTGTAAAATAATAAAATAAAATTCGTAAAATTAAGGAATTCAAAGATGCAATTTCCTCAGAGAGCGTAGCCAGTTACAAACCAAAATTAC